TCACACCTGTGTCACACCTGTGTGTCATCTGTGTGTAACACCTGTACCCAAACCCCACCTGCGAGAAGCCCAGGGACAGCGCCAGGGCCCCCACCTGCTGCTCGTGGCACGGCCACCTGGGGGGGACAGGTGTGTGTCACACCTGTGTCACACCTGAGTCACACCTGAGTGTCACATGTGTCACACCTGAGTCACACCTGTGTCACACCTGACCCCAAATTTGGGTTTTCCCTCCCTTTTTTTTCACCTCCAGACCCCAAATTTGGGGTTTCCCTCCCATTTTTTCACCCCCAGACCCCAAATTTGGGTTTTCCCTCCCATTTTTTCACCTCCAGACCCCAAATTTGGGTTTTCCCTCCCATTTTTTCACCTCCAGACCCCAAATTTGGGTTTTCCCTCCCATTTTTTCACCTCCAGACCCCAAATTTGGGTTTTCCCTCCCTTTTTTTTCACCTCCGGACCCCAAATTTGGGTTTTCCCTCCCTTTTTTTTCACCTCCGGACCCCAAATTTGGGTTTTCCCTCCCATTTTTTCACCTCCGGACCCCAAATTTGGGTTTTCCCTCCCATTTTTTCACCTCCGGACCCCAAATTTGGGTTTTCCCTCCCATTTTTTCACCCCCAGACCCCAAATTTGGGTTTTCCCTCCCTTTTTTTCACCTCCAGACCCCAAATTTGGGTTTTTCCTCCCAATTTTTCTCCATTTTTCGGCTCTTTCTGGGCGCGCTCACGTTTCAGTGGTTTGTGTGTGCAGGCGAAATGAATGGGGGTAATTAACGCCGAATCGGTGCTAATTAACGTCAAATTTGGTTTAATTAACGCCAATTTGGGTGTAATTATCGCCAAACTGGTGCTAATTACCACCAAATGTGGCTTAATTAACGCCAAATTGGTGCTAATTAACAACAAATTGGGTTTAATTATCGCCAAATTGCTGCTAATTAACACCAAATTGGGTTTAATTATCGCCAAATTGTCGCTAATTACCACCAAATTTGGTTTAATTAACGCCAAATTGGGTTTAATTACCTCCAAATTGGTGCTACTTAACGCCAAATTTGGTTTAATTACCTCCAAATTGGTGCTAATTGACGCCAAATTTGGTTTAGTTAACGCCAAATTTGGTTTAATTAACGCCAAATTGTGTTTAATTAACGCCAAATCGGTGCTAATTAACGCCAAATCGGTGCTAATTAACGCCAAACTGGTGCTAATTAACACAAAATTTGGTTTAGTTAACGCCACATCGGTGCTAGTTACCACCAAATTCGGTTTAATTACCTCCAAATTGGTGCTAATTGACGCCAAATTTGGTTTAGTTAACGCCAAATTTGGTTTAATTAACGCCAAATTGTGTTTAATTAACGCCAAATCGGTGCTAATTAACGCCAAACTGGTGCTAATTAACACAAAGTTTGGTTTAGTTAACGCCAAATCGGTGCTAATTCACGCCAAATTTGGTCTAATTAACGCCAAATCGGTGCTAATTAACGCCAAATCGGTGCTAATTAACGCCAAACTGGTGCTAATTAACACAAAATTTGGTTTAGTTAACGCCACATCGGTGCTAGTTACCACCAAATTCGGTTTAATTAACGCCAAATTGGGTTTAATTACCTCCAAATTGGTGCTACTTAACGCCAAATTTGGTTTAATTACCTCCAAATTTGGTTTAATTACCTCCAAATTGGTGCTAATTGACGCCAAATTTGGTTTAGTTAACGCCAAATTTGGTTTAATTAACGCCAAATTGTGTTTAATTAACGCCAAATCGGTACTAATTAACGCCAAACTGGTGCTAATTAACACAAAGTTTGGTTTAGTTAACGCCACATTGGTGCTAATTAACGCCAAATTTGGTTTAGTTAACACCAAATTGAGTTTAATTAACGCCAAATTTTATTTAGTCAACTCCAAATTTGGTTTAATTAACACCAAATTGGGTTTAATTATCGCCAAATTGGTGCTAATTACCGCCCCGAGGGGGTTTGCCCAGCTTTGCCCGGATTTGCCCAATTCCCTCCCTTGCCGGGGGTCTCGGGCGGGTTTGGGTCTTTGGGGGTTTTGGGCTGGGGGCGCCTGGGGGTGCCTGGGACCCACCAAATACCCCCGGGACCCCCAAACCTCCCCAGGACCCCCAGGGACCCTCCAGGACCCCCCAAAGTCCCCCGGGACCCCCACTCACGCGTAGCTGTGCAGCAGCAGCACGGCCAGGCTGCGGATGCCCCGGGCCAGCAGCCGCTCCAGGTCCCCGCGGAGCCGCGCCACGTCCAGGGGCCGCTGCAGCAGCAGGGTGACACCCGAGACACCTGGGGGGACACGGGGGACAACAGTGTCACCCACAGCCCTGGGACACCTGGGACACCCCTGCTGCACCGGCAGGGTGACACCCGAGACACCTGGGGGGACAACAGTGTCACCTGACACCCCCGCTGCACCGGCAGGGTGACACTGGAGACACCTGGGGGGACAGCCACAGTGTCACCTCCCCCCGGGGACCCCCAAACCCCCTGGTGCCACCTCACAGAGCAGCAGGGGACAGTGACAGGGGTGACACCTGCCAGGTGCCACCCCCAGTGCCACTCCCGTGTCCCAGGGCCCCAGGTGACAATGGCAGTGCCACCCCCGCGTCCCAGGGCCTCAGGTGACAATGGCAGTGCCACCCCCGTGTCCCAGGGCCCCAGGTGACAATGGCAGTGCCACCCCCGTGTCCCACCTTGCACGCGGGGCCAGCTGTCACTGCCGGGCAGGTGACAATCCTCCTGCTCGGGGATCAGCCGCTCGTCCACCTCGATCACCTCCTCGTAGAGCACGTCGGGCATGGCCACCTCCTGCGGGGACAGCGCGGGGACAGCGTGACATCACTGGGGTGGCACCGCGGGGACACGCTGACATTGTGAGGGTGACACCGTGGGGACATGGGTGACATTGCTGGGGTGACATTGCTGGGGTGACATCGTGGGGCTGACACCGTGGGGACACGGGGTGACATTGATGGGGTGACACTGCGGGGACACGCGTGACATTGCTGGGGTGACATTGCTGGGGTGACATCGTGGGGCTGACACCGTGGGGACACGGGGTGACATTGTGGGGGTGACACCGCGGGGACACGCGTGACATTGCCGGGGTGACATTGCTGGACGTCGTGGGGGTGACACCGTGGGGACACGGGTGACATTGCTGAGGTGACATCGCAGGGCTGGCACTGCAGGGACACGCGTGACATTGATGAGGTGACACCATGGGGACATGGGTGACATTAATGGGGTGGCACTGCAGGGACATGGGATGACATCATGGGGGTGACACCACAGGGACATGGGATGACATCGATGGGGTGGCACTGCGGGGACACGCGTGACATCGTGGGGGTGACACCATGGGGACATGGGTGACATTGCTGGGGTGACATTGCTGGGGTGACACCACGGGGACACGCGTGATATTGCTGGGGTGACATTGCTGGGGTGACATCATAGGGGTGACACCACGAGGACATGCGTGACATTGCTGGGGTGACATTGATGCGGTGACACGCGGGGACATGGGGTGACATTGATGGGGTGACACTGCAGGGACATGGGGGGACATTGTGGGGGTGACACCGCGGGGACACGGGTGACATTGATGGGGTGACATTGCTGGGGTGACACCACGGGGACACGCGTGACATTGATGGGGTGACATCGTGGGGCTGGCACCGTGGGGACACGCGTGACATTGATGGGGTGACACCGCGGGGACATGGGGTGACATTGATGGGGTGGCACTGGGGTGACACCACAGGGACACAGGACAGGATTGGGGTGGCACCAAGGACAGGAGTCAGACGGGACAGGACAGGGACAGGACTGAGGTGGCACCAGGACAGGACTGGGTGGCACTGGGACACAACTGGGACAGGGACAGAGCCAGGGTGGCACTGGGACAGGAGGGGACAGGGGGGACAGGGACAGGGCCAGGGACAGGGTGGCACTGGGACAGGAGGGGACAGGAGTGGGGGGGCACTGGGACAGGACTGGGACAGAGCCAGGGTGGCACTGGGACAGAAGGGGACAGGGGGGACAGGGACAGAGTGGCACTGGGACAGGACTGGGTGGCACTGGGACAGAACAAGGACAGAGCCAGGGTGGCACTGGGACAGGAGGGGGGAGCGGGGACAGGGACAGAGTGGCACTGGGACAGGACAAGGACAGAGCCAGGGTGGCACTGGGACAGGAGGGGACAGGGGGGACAGGGACAGGGACAGGGTGGCACTGGGACAGGACTGGGTGGCACTGGGACAGGACAAGGACAGAGCCAGGGTGGCACTGGGACAGGAAGGAGACAGGAGTGGGGTGGCACTGTTACAGGATGGGGACAGGGACAGGGTGGCACTGGGACAGGACTGGGACAGAGTCAGGGTGGCACTGGGACAGGAGGGGACAGGAGTGGGGGGGCACGGCCATGGCACCAGGGTGGCACAGGGACACCAACCCCAGACACCCTGTGTCCCCACGTGTCCCCTGTCCTGTGTCCCCCCGTGTCCTCCCCGTGTCCCGTGTCCCCTGTCCTGTGTCTCCCATCCCCTGTTCTGTGTCCCCTGTCCCTGTCCCCATTCTCCCTGTCCCCACTGTCCCTGTCCCCAGTGTCCCCTGTCCCTGTCCCTGTCCCTGTGTCCCTGTCCCCTCTGTCCCTGTCCCTGTCCCTGTGTCCCTGTCCCCTCTGTCCCTGTCCCTGTCCCTGTGTCCCTGTCCCCTCTGTCCCTGTCCCTGTCCCTGTGTCCCTGTCCCCTCTGTCCCTGTCCCTGTCCCTGTGTCCCTGTCCCCTCTGTCCCTGTCCCTGTCCCTGTGTCCCTGTCCCCTCTGTCCCTGTCCCTGTCCCTGTGTCCCTGTCCCCTCTGTCCCTGTCCCTGTCCCTGTGTCCCTGTCCCCTCTGTCCCTGTCCCTGTCCCTGTGTCCCTGTCCCCTCTGTCCCTGTCCCTGTCCCTGTGTCCCTGTCCCCTCTGTCCCTGTCCCTGTCCCTGTGTCCCTGTCCCCTCTGTCCCTGTCCCTGTCCCTGTGTCCCTGTCCCCTCTGTCCCTGTCCCTGTCCCTGTGTCCCTGTCCCCTCTGTCCCTGTCCCTGTCCCTGTGTCCCTGTCCCCTCTGTCCCTGTCCCTGTCCCTGTGTCCCTGTCCCCTCTGTCCCTGTCCCTGTCCCTGTGTCCCTGTCCCCTCTGTCCCTGTCCCTGTCCCTGTGTCCCTGTCCCCTCTGTCCCTGTCCCTGTCCCTGTGTCCCTGTCCCCTCTGTCCCTGTCCCTGTCCCTGTGTCCCTGTCCCCTCTGTCCCTGTCCCTGTCCCTGTGTCCCTGTCCCCTCTGTCCCTGTCCCTGTCCCTGTGTCCCTGTCCCCTCTGTCCCTGTCCCTGTCCCTGTGTCCCTGTCCCCTCTGTCCCTGTCCCTGTCCCTGTGTCCCTGTCCCCTCTGTCCCTGTCCCTGTCCCTGTGTCCCTGTCCCCTCTGTCCCTGTCCCTGTCCCTGTGTCCCTGTCCCCTCTGTCCCTGTCCCGTGAGCGGGGCCGGGCTCGGGGCCAGGCCTGGCCCGTGGCCAGCACAGCCCGCCGAGCCATCGGCCACCGGGGGCAGGGACACGGACAGGGACACTGGGGACATTGGGGACAGGGACAGGGACAGGGACAGAGGGGACAGGGACAGGGACAGAGACAGAGGGGACAGGGACAGAGGGGACAGGGACAGGGACAGGGACAGGGGGAACAGGGGGGACAGGGACAGGGACAGGGGGAACAGGGGGGACAGGGACAGGGACACGGACAGGGACAGGGGACAGGGACAGGGGGGACAGAGGGGACAGGGAAACAGGGACAGGGGACAGCAGAGACAGGGACAGGGACACGCCAAGGACACACGGCCGGGCCCCAACCCGCAGCCACAGACACTGGGTGGGGACAGAGGGGACACAGGACGGACACGGGACAGGGAACAGGGGACACAGGACGGGGGGACAGAGGGGACACAGGGGGGACACCGAGCCCCACAGCAGGGACAGTGTGGGGGGACACGGGGACACGGTGCCAGCCCAGGAGGGGACACAGGGACAGTGTGGGGGGACACGGGGACACGGTGCCAGCCCAGGAGGGACACCGTGGGGCACACAGGGACACGGTGCCAGCCTGGACAGGGATACAGGGACAGGGTGGGGGGACAAAGGGACACGGTGCCAGCCCAGGAGGGGACACAGGGACAGGGTGGGGCACAGGGGACTCGGTGCCAGCCCAGGAGGGGACACAGGGACACTGTGGGGGGGACACGGGGACACGGTGCCAGCCTGAACAGGGACACAGGGACAGGGTGGCTGGGGACAGTGGGGGACACAGGGACACCGTGGGGGGACACGGGGACTCGGTGCCAGTCCAGGAGGGGACACAGGGACAGGGTGGGGGGACACAGGGACACGGTGCCAGCCCGAGCAGTGACACGGGGACAGGGTGGGGCACAGGGGACACGGTGCCAGCCCAGGAGGGGACACAGGGACAGGGTGGGGGGACACGGGGACACGGTGCCAGCCTGAACAGGGACACGGGGACAGGGTGGCTGGGGACAGTGGGGGACACAGGGACACCGTGGGGGGACACGGGGACTCGGTGCCAGTCCAGGAGGGGACACAGGGACAGGGTGGTGGGACAGGGTGGTTGGGGACAGTGGGGCACACGGGGACACGGTGCCAGTCACGGGACACAGCGGTCACAGGACGCGCCAGCCCCGTGCCAGGCGGGCACGGGTCACCGAGGGGCCACCGCGTGGGACATCACGTGTGGCACCGAGGGGACACCGAGGGGACACGGGACATGGGGGACACGCGGGGCATCATGTGTGGCACCGAGGGGACACCGAGGGGACACGGGACACGGGGAACACGCGGGGCATCACGTGTGGCACTGAGGGGACACGGGGGACATGGGGGACATCACGTGTGGCACCGAGGGGTCACGGGACACGGGGGACATCATGTGTGTCACCGAGGGGACACCAAGGGGACACGGGACACGGGAGACACGGGGGACGTCACGTGTGGCACCGAGGGGACACGGGGGACACGGGGGACAGGGGGGACATCACGTGTGGCACTGAGGGGACACCAAGGGGACACGGGACATGGGGGACATGGGGGACGTCACGTGTGGCACCGAGGGGACGGTGTGTCCAGGTGTGTGCCAGGTGTGTGCCAGGTGTGCCCAGCTGTTCAGAGGGACCCCAAAGATCACCCGGGACCCCCAGACCCATTTAGGGATCCCCAGCCCCACAGCCCCCTGCCCAACTGGATCCACTGGATCCCCGAGGCGTCCAGGGGCTCATCCCGGGGCAGGGGCACCCCCAGCTCCTGTGGGGGGACCCCAACATTCACCTGGGGACCCCAAAAATCACCCGGGACCCCCAGACCCATTTAGGGATCCCCAGCCCCACAGCCCCCTGCCCATGCAGATCCACCAGATCCCGGAGCCATCCAGGGGCTGCTCCCGGGGCAGGGGCACCCCCAGCTCCTGCGGGGGCACCCCAAAACTGAGCCCCACGACCCCAGACCCATTTGGGGACCCCAGACCCATTTGAGGACCCCAGACCTATTTGCGGACCCCCAGCACAGGGTGGGACAGGGGGTCCAGGCAGACCCAGGACAGGGGGCTTAGGGGGGCCTGGAGGGGATCCTGGGGGGCAGGAGGGCTCTGGGGGGGTCCCGGGGTTCCCAGCAGGGCACTTGGGGGGTCCCG